GAGCCACGTAGTACTGTTGTCATTTATATAAGGAACTGATATTTGCAAGGCTGTCCTTTTCCTCTTAATGTTATTCCTTTCAAATACATGTGCATACCACATATAGCAAAATGCCTCCTTAAGGCATGATGAAGTTACTGTGATCCATTAGGGTTACAACCAGTGACCCGAAGAGCAAGTGGATCCACTCTGCAAATTAAAAAGGGTTGGTGACCATCTTCAGCTTGGAGAATATTTGTTCAGGTGCAACTCTTAAACACATTGCCTTATGACTATTAGAATATGCCTCTTTTCATAAATAGTAATAGTCTGTATCCATTTTCTTTTTCTTTTCTCCCCCAAACTTAAGAGGGCAAAGATAGAGGTTAGGTAGGAGGTTTATAGATGTGGGAGGAGAAAACATGTATTAACTAAATTTCAGATTTTGATCAGAGGTAGTGCTATACTTGGTTTGTTTGTTTGTTTTTAAGCAAATGACGTTTAAGAATGAGCTTTTAAAAAGTATTTTTGTATAGTTACCTTTTTGTCATGTGTAACAGTACCTCAGTTAAGACTCTAGTTTTTCATCTTTCTTCCACATCCTGAATATACAGTGCTAGCAGTCAAACATGCAACTTTCCTTTGAAGTTCTCAGTTAGTTGTTCAATGTTTGGGCTTTTCTAAGTAGCAGAAGATAGAAATCTAGGTTCATGGTTTGTAAATACATATTGTCATGAAACGGACCTATTCATTATTTTGTATGGTCCAGCCTCAGACTAGAAAGAAAGGTTACAACAGAAGTGTGCATTTATCCAAATGGACACCAAATCTAGTGTTCTGAAGCCTAGGTAACAGAAGGATGTCTGTGTAACATGGCAAAGGTTAAGTTGAGTTTACAGCTGCTGCCTTTCCCGTAGTGGGCTCAGCAGTTTTTTTCATTATATATATAGTTTTGTTTTATTTGTTTATTTTGGCTGGGGAATAGCAATTGATTTTGTGTTTTAGATATTATTTGTAAACCTAATTAGCTCCCCCTTAGATATATACATTTTGCACATGTGCACCTACCTATACTCTAGTATTTATGCATACAAATGTGAAGGCTTTTCAGGGAACAGAACATCTGAGACAGGCTGATCTCAACTAAACAGGACTCCTATAAGGTAGTAAGAACTATTGCCTTCTATGTTTCAATTGAAGAACTCTAATAGACAAAGATTAGGAGTCAGAGACCATTCATTGTAAATACGCAGTTGCTTATAGTGATAGGAATTCTTATTCCATGTGTTTTCTTTATCATAGAGTTTAAATATTTATTGATTTTGTATTTAAAGACTACCTTCATATAAATATATGATTCTAAAAACGTAATTTTCCCCATTCTCAGAGTAACCAAATGAGCAACACTAGGCCAAATAGGTTCATATGGGATGAGTTACAATGCATTACTGGGCTTATCTTCTCTGTCCCAGCCTTGTCTCAAGGTTTGGGGGTATATATTTGAATTCATTATCATTTATCTTTTAAATTATAAACCCTGTGAGGATAAATCGAGTGTTTTACTCTTGAGTTACTAAAGGAAAAATTTGAAATTGACCCTGATTTTTGAGATTTGTCATAAACTATCTCTTTCCATTCTCTGAAAAATTTTAAGCTTCCCACTCAAATATCTTTCATAAGTTGTTGTTTGTAATCTGCCCAAGTAATTATAATATTGAAGAGCTCAAAGGAGATTTAGTCTCTACTGGATTTTACTCAGGTGAAACATTTACTCTGAAATTCTGAAGGCCACGATTTAAGGGGATTTGGAGGGTTAAACACATTGACTATAACGCAGCGTGGTCCTATTGGTCTGTTGCTCTTGGGTGATTTGAGAATGGTTTTATGTAGTTGAAATGTAGAGCTGGGGGTATAGTTCCATGGTAGAGCATTTGCCAGGCATGCACAGTACTCTTGGTTCAATCCTTGGCATTGCCAACAAAAGTGGATAAGCTGGAGGAGTAATTACTTTTTTTCTAGAATTGAATGATTAAAGGATATAATTATTTTTAATATATGCAAAAAGTCTTGCTTTCTGTGGCAAGTGAAGTCCTGTGTCTGGAAGTTGTAATATAGCTTTTCCTGATTTGCTGCAAAGGCTTATGGTTGATTTTAGAAATGAAGACTGAAAGGGCGGAAGCCTCCAACAGAGGAACTCCTGTTCTAGGTTGTTGACATTTCATGCTTCTGGTGAATTTCAAGCTTTTGAATATCCCTGCAGCATGTGCGTGGGTATCATAGCCAGCTTGGATGATCACCTGCTGCTTCTACATCTGAGACCATGACACTCTTGTTACATGGCTTAGCAAAAGGAAGGGTGAAAACTTGATTTAATTAGTGTTCAGATTACAAAAACTCTATCGATGACAACATATTTAAATGTTCTGAATGGTCGTGAAAGTCATCATCAAATATTGATTTTTTTTGGTGTGTGTATGTTTTGTTTGGATTTTGGCCTCAAAGATATGTAAGTTGAATTTGATCTTTTCATTGTGTTGTGGGAATTTTTTTGTTGGGCAAAGTAAAATAGCATGAGACTGGTAATCTTTTCTGTTGACTATGTCTTTTATAAATAGTACCCCCAGAAATGTGATTAGAAGGCTAGTGAGTCTGAACTTGGGGATATAGTCTGTTGACTTACTACATTTGAGATGCCTGCTTATTCCTGGAGATGAGAATGAAAATTCATCAGTTGATATTTTTGGGTACCATCAAGTTATCCATTGCATGCTGATATTTTAGTCCGGTTTGAGCACTGAAGTGATCCTTAATTAGGCTGTCAGTTTCTGAGACAGTTGGGTGGAAATAAATGTATGAATGTTGATTGATCCATGTATGTAAATTAGAGATCCTTTTCTAGATTCGGTGTGCTTTTGTTACGAGTATAGAACTGACAGGGACAATAATTTTACGATTATTAATAGCTAACACTTATTGGGCACTTATATATATATATATATATATCAGTTTACTATTCTACTTTTAAAAGAATTTTTGTAATAGCTTTATTCAAGTACACTTTACCATGTAATCCATTTTTTCAAAGTGTACAATTCAGTGATTCTTACTGTATGTAGAGTTCCACAACCATGTCTTGTATCTAAGTTGAGAATGTCTGTCTTTATCACTGCAGAGAAACCAATCACTCCTGTTCTCCAGTCACCTTCAGTCCTTGCAACTACTAGTCTACTTTCTGTCCATTCTTCTGGCCAGGTACTATTTGTAGTGCTTGCTCTATTTCCTCCACTCCTCAACAGAATGTACTATAATTCTTATTTTACAGTAGAAAATTGAGGCACAGAAATTTAAGTAATTGTCCGAGGTCATGCAGGAAGTGAAGTTATAGTAAGAACACATTAAATGAGATGCAGTTTGAATTGCACTGTTAGGCACATGAAATGAATGCATTCCTTCCCAGGGTGTGTCTTCTGTTTTGACCTTTGCACCCTAGAACTGACTGGAGACAGACATGTCTTGTTCTTTTTACTACTTTATAATTTCCTGTTTCACATATACATAGTCTGTTTTTTCCTCAAAGTTTGAAGACACAACTACTTTTCCTTTTCCTAAAGGGATGGTTAATGCCTCAAAATGTAACATCTCTTCAGGTGTTTATAGTATAGGGATGTATCTAGTCACATAGGGTACTGGGTATGTTTCTAAGATTTAAGATTAAAGTCATTCAAGAACTGAATGCCTTTCTATTTGGGTAAATGTGAAGAGAATGAAGACTTTGCCTTAATGAAGCTTGTTCATTTCTGGTCTTCTTTGGTATTCTACTTTAATCCTGATCTTTCCTATAAACAATAAACCTGTGCAAAGAAACCTGTAAAATGGTTTGTGAATGTTATATGTGTCAATAAAAACACTGGAAAGGGGCAATTTGTGCCTTTTTTTTTACTGAAGGTACAGAAATACTTGTATTGATGGAACATGATACATATATTCTAAAGAGACAAATGTATAATTGTGTGAAACAAGTTTGAAAAGGGAAATCACACTTATTGAGCAAACATGCTATGCCAAGCTCTATATTAATCCTTAATACATCATGTCTTCTCTCTTCACACCAGCCTTTTTTTAATCAGATGCAGTACCAAGCCCATAAGCACAACTAAGACACCAATGAATGAGGAAAAGTTTCTTGCAGCAAACAGCAATTGAAAACTTGTACTGTGAAGGTAGAGCTTATTGTGCTAGGAAGTAGAATGCCTTTAGTAGACTATCTCACTGAAAATGGCTTCAAAGCAATATCTGAGGATATGGAGAGCAATTGGATTACGAGACAGGACAGTGTGGGTAGAAGGACGTCCCTGTGTCTGTAATTTGGAAGGCTGAAACCTAGAAGAGTGCATGTTTCTGAGAACAGCTGAGAAGTTTCTGACTCTGGCTATCAAAGTGATATTTTTTGGATGACTGTAAATCCAGGCCTGCAGGGTAGTAGTCATAGGTGTCATTAATGTTGAAGGAACATGGTATCTTGGACAGTCTTGTTAAGAACAATTGCTTATGGGCAAGAGTGAAGAATAACTTAGAAGTATAAATAGTAAATGTAGTTGAAACTTAATCTGCTTTGGATTTTCATGTATTATCATCATCTAACACTTAACCCCGTAAGGATGTTACCATCTTATAGTACTGAGGGTCAAACCCAGGGCCTTTCACATGCTAGCCAAGTGTTCTGCCACTAAGCTATATCCCTGTCCCTTGGTTCTTTGAGGCACATAACAGACTAGTATTCTTTGCCTTGGCCTCCTGAGTATTAGGATTACAAGGCATGTACATCAAAGGTTCAACTCATAAGGAGAATGTTTTGATTCAAGTCTTTGACCATAGTAAAAGACAGGAAAAATGTCCCTCAGTGAAGACAAGTAAACAGGTTGGGGGTGGTGGTGTATACCTTTAATCCCAGCACTCAGCAGGCAGATCTCTGAATTTGAGGTCAGCCTGGTCTACAAAGTGAATTCCAGGACAGCAAGGGCTACACAGAGAAACCCTATCTCAAAAAAGCAAGAGGGAGAGGTAAACAAATACATTTAAATATATACTTAAAAGTCATGAATGAAGGCTGTGGGAGCCCACAGTAGAGAAAACTGGCTACTCTGCAGCCTTCTCTAGAAGAAAGTCATTCTCTGCTGGCAGTGGAGAGACCGTGGATTGCACATTTCATATATGCTCTCCTGGAGTATTTCATAGTAGTCGAAGACATGTATAAGCAGCAACATGACACACCCAAGGCCACACAAATATTAAATGACAAAGCTGTTACTTGAACCCAAGCATCTCTAGCTGTAAGACAGGCTAGGAAATCCACTCTTGACTGTGCATCACTGCCCAAAATAGAATTGGGGTGCCGCTATTAAGGACCGGATATTGAGTGCAGCAGGTACTCTTCATCACAATGCTTCACTTGAATCAGTTGTAAAGGTAAACTTTCTGGGGACTGGGGCTGCCAGGAATTGAACTGAGGTCATCACACGTGGTAGGCAAGCATTCAACCACTGGAGCAACCTTTCCGCCCTTATAAATGCACTCAGTGTTTGAAACAGGATTATCTTTTTATTTTTAAGCCGTTCACAATTGCATACACATAATACATGTTGATCATGACCCTACATTATCCTCTCTTATTAACCTCTCTGGTGTCTTCCATTCACCAGCCTTTTTTCTTCCCAACAAGTCCTCTTCCTACCTCCCTGTCTTTTTGTATGCGTACTCCTCTGTATTGAATTGGGGTTGCTTCCATGAGCCTGTGTGGATGGTTACTTGAGCAAGGGCAATTTACCCTTGGCTCCACCAGAGAGAGATGACACTCCTTCAGGGGGGGGGTGGTAAGAGCCTAATGATACCCCCCAATCCATGATGGAATGTTGATGGAACCAGGCTTGTGCATGAGCCCCCTGCGGCTGTGAGTTGAGACAGGGTTTTCTAAAACTTTTCTTCGTTTCTACAGTTTTCTTTGACCACAGAGCACTGATCACTGAGTGTTAACCCTAGGATGTTTGTTTCACTTCTGCTGTTTTCTTGCTTTTTTTCCCTTTTGTGAAACAGTCTCATTCTCTAGCCCGGGAGCTCCTCAAATGTGCCACCACACTTTGCTGGGCATAGAACACATGTCTTAGGTAAGTATGCCCTTCCCAATCTTTCATTTTTTGTCCGTGTTTTTAACACTTCGCTTCCGTGTGAAGATTGTCCCTCGGTCATCATTACAGAGTGTATCTCTGCTGGTAATGGATTTTTTGAGTTTCAGTTTTAGAATATAGATGAGAATATTTTTACTTAATTTCTAAAGTACATTCTACCTAATTCATACTCCAAGATGGCAGTTACCTTGTTTCAGCACTTTGGATTTTCTGCCCTTCTTATTTTCTGATGAGAAACTGAGCTGTACATTCATTATTCATAATGCACCCTAGTCTCTGGTTAATTTCAGATATCTTTTTCTCATTGATAGAGCTCAGTAGTTTTATTATTGTATGTTTAGGAATGGATGCTTGTTAAGGTTTAAAGAGTTTTACAGCAAAGAAGTCAAAATTGGCCTTGAACTTGACAACCCTCTTCTCCAGTGAAACACTACACATCCTTCAAAAGGCTCTGGGAGGGTGGTGGTATTTTGTTTTCAGTTCTGAAAATCAATCAAAACCAGGGCCTTGTACATGCTAGGCAAGCACTCCACCACTAAGCCCCTTTTCGTTCTGTTTTGTTTGAGACATGGCTGGCCTCCAATTCCTGATCACCCTGCTTCAGCCTCCCAAGTGCTGGGGAACCTATATATACGTTTCAGACTTTCATCAAAATTTGAAATTATTTTTAACTATTATTTTTTTCAAAAGAAATTTCCTTCATTTTACTCTTCCTTTCTTCTGGGAGACTAAAGACAAGAATATTAGGTTTTCTGTCATTGCCCAACTATTGTTTGAGCCTCTGTTAATTTCCTTTAGTTTTTTTTTCTCTGCGTGTTTTAAATAGCATGACTACTGATTTATCCTTGCTGTGTGCTTCAATACTGCTTAATGTAGCACTTTTGCTAATTTAAAATGTGGTGCGTTATTCGTTCTGGAGATACTTAGCTTTAAACTGTGTCTCTTGATCCAGCCTCTAAGGAAACAAATATGGAGGTTATTTTTTTTTAAAGCACCAAAAATCGAATTACTGTATGGCTTAGCTGTACTCCTTCTGAGTATATACCCGAAGTCATATCACAGATGTAGGTACACATCCATGTTTCTAGCACTGCCATCCAGATGCCCCAGGTTATAAAGTCAGCCTAGCTATCCATCAGTGGGTGAGTGTCTAAACAAAACATATAAATACACAGAGGAATCGGTGCAATTGGAGATCATATTCAACAAATTCAGGTGAAAAAATATCCCTTGTTTTCTCTCCTGTATGAGCCCTAGAATTCTTTATAGATACATAAAAACATGTATGTATATAAAAAGCATGAAATCAGGAAGATGAGACTAGAGGAAGGGAGAAGACCAGCAGGAAGAGAGAAGAGGGTGAGGAGGAGTTAAAAGGAAAGAATAGGAGTGGGTACACATGGTATACTTGAAAGAAATTGTCTATATGAACCCCAACACTATGTACAGTGAATATATGCCAATAACATACTGAAGAAAAACCATGTCATAAAGGAAGTGTGGGACAGTATATCTGGTGTATTGCTAGGTACTAGGGAAGCTGAGGTAGAAGGATCCCAGTATTTAGAGGCCAGCCTGGGCTACAAAGCAAGACCCTATCAACAAAAAAATAAACCATTGAATTTCACACTATAAACATTTACTAAGGCAAAGTATTTCAACTTTAATGCTCATATATTAGTTAATTTTTTTTATTTTTGAGACAGGGTTTCTCTGTAGCTTTGGAGCCTGTCCTGGAACTAGCTCTTATAGATCAGGCTGGCCTCAAACTCAACAGACATCGCCTGTCTCTGCCTCCCAGGCATGAGATATTAAAGGCGTGCACCATTACTGCCTGGCTTAGTTAAAATACATTTTTAAAGGATTTATAATACGTTTTTTTGCCAGATTTCTAAGACTTGGACTGTCACTTGTGTTGATGTCTTTGAATATTTTTCCCCTTTTAAGCTAAGATTCTTCATATACCTGGTAATTTTGGAAAGTATCCTGAGCATTTTAAATAATATTATTTCCTATTTAAACTTTAAAGAGAATACTTGTAGTCTTCGTTTCCACACGCAATTGAACAGGTAGGTGGGCTGCAGTTATGAGGTCCATAGTTATAAAGAAAATAGCAGTGCAGTTCAAAGCTCACGAGGCTGATGCCATCCAGTGGCCAGTGTGAGACTTTGTGGTGATCTTTCCCTTCCAATCTCTTGCCAGACAGTAAAAGGCCAAGTACCACATATTCTTTCATATGTGAAAACTCAAAAAGTTGACTTGAAATATTACTAAGGACTAGAAGGGCACAGGAAGAGGTAAAGGTAGAAAAATGAACGTTGAATTTGATCAGCACATGCTGTATGCATGCATGGCAATGTCACGCTAAATATCATAGTACTAACTTTAATGTTAGTATTAATAGGTATTAATTATTAAAATCTGTGTTCCTTTGAATCAGATCTCTGCATATTCTGCTTGAAGACTTAAGTGTAAGGCTCCGTGATCTCCTTTAAGGATCTCTCCGTGGGACTCCTGTCACTTTGTTTTCTGTTTGGGTGCTTCTGCCAGAAAGCAGGGACCTCAGAAGTCTCTGCCATCTACTTCACGAAACTGTTCACATTTTAGCTAAGTTGCATGAGATCAAAATGAGGTAAAAAGGGGGATTTGTGGGGCTGTGGCAGTTCCAATTGGGGGAGGAATTGTTTCTTTTCTTTAGTGTTTTCCTTTTGCATCCTAAGGGATAAGGCTGCTTCCCCTGCCCCCGCTGCACAGCACAGGACTGCGTGGGATTTAGGGTGCCAGAGGGTGAGATAAGACAAGAAAAGTCACCGGAGAACTTTTGCACTCTCTCCAAGCATTAAGGGACCTCTTTTCACTATCAGTGGTGGCATACACATTAAATCCCAACACTTGGGAGGCAGAGGTAGGCAGATCTCTGAGTTCGAGGCCAGATGGTGTACAGAGCAAGTCCCATGACACACGTGCGCGTGCGCGCACACACACACGCACACACACACACACAGATACAGAGAGAGAGAGAATCCAAGCTGGGGAGCACTGCCCAGAGGAGAGTAGACTCACCAATGGTGAGACTTTGCGCTCCAGTCTTTCCTAATCTACTACTCTGCTTTTCCATAATCTTCAAATAAGTCAGATTTCAGAGCTGCACTCAAACAGCATAAAATCTGTTCACCCAGAACTGAAATCCCTGACTGTCATTGCTACATTTATTGATTGAATGGTTTGCTGGAAATACCAGGGATTGATCCAAGACCTTGTGCATACTACCTACACAAGCTGAGTACTGCTGAGTTATGCCCCCAGCCCTCTTACTGTCATTTTAAAAAGAATTGCTTGGATTTGGGGATGGAACTCAGTGATAGAGTGCTCACCTAGTCCATATAAGTCTCTGGGTTCCATGCCCAAAATCCTAAGGAAATAAAAATAATTACTACTTAAGATGGTTGGCAGTCATCTCAGAAATAAACACAGCGATGGTCTCTCTGTCACAAATGCCACCTTTTATAGTTACTGACAAATAACATCTGGATTCTTCCCAGAAGACCTGGTTGTGTTCCCTTGGGAATCTCTAGGACATTTTGGTGTGGAGATAATGGTAGAAGTGGAGAGGGGATGAACTACAAAAACAAGGTTGTCAAAAGTCTGTGAAGGAGTTTTCTTTTAATCAGAGCTTTGTGGGAGTCTTTCCCCTCTTTTGGAAGCCAAGCTATTTTTGATATGAGTGAAATACTGACACGAACTCATTATATCCTCGAGATGCACAGAGAAGCAGCCCTGGCTAAGTGAGCTGAACAATTTCCAGTGCCCTATCAGTCACCAGGTCTCTTTGGAGCTCATGAAAACTCACTGGTGTGGCCCCAGTTTTCAGAATCATCGAAGACCATTTTGAGCAAGTCACATCACCTCTCTGTGCTTCTGCATCTTGAAAATGTGTTTCTGAGGGTGAGGCTGGTGAGATGGTCTGGTGGATAAAGGTGCTCGATGTCAAGCCTGAAGACCTGAATTTAATCCCTGGGTCTCACATGGTGGAAGAAAACAACTGACTCCCAAAAGGTGTCATCTGACTTCCATGTGCATGCCATAGCAACACCCTCCCCACACATGTACACACCAACAAAATTAATGTTAAAAAAATTTAGAACTAGGGAGGGAAACGTAGGGGGGGATAGAAGAGGAATTGGAGGAGTAGGAATGGGGGTGATTTGATCAAAATGGACTACATGCCTATGTAATTCTCCAACAACAAAAAGATAAATGTAAAAAATTTAAATAAAATAATCTATTTTATCTGTATTTATCTGAAATTCTGCTGAAGAAAGCAAATTCATAAGTATGAAGGAAATAACAAGGGTTCAATAAACAGTAATGTTCATACTTTTATTTTTAATTTGCCAAGTGTTTGGCTTTAAATTCTACTTTATTTATATGTGTATGTGCAATTGTATGTATGCTTCTAAATGACTACATACATGCACTTGTGTGTGTGAGTGTCCCAAGATGCCAAAAGGAGGTGTTAGATTCCCTGGAGCTAGAGTTATGGACAGTTGTAAGCTGTCAAAAGTGGTTCTGGGACCTCTGAATTTAGGTCATTTAGAAGGACCTTAAAAGCACTTTTAACCCTGAATCACTTTTCCAGTTCCTATTCTTTTATTTTTAATTTTTGCTGTACTGGGGTGTCTCAAGGTTTCTGTTGTTATGAAGAGACACCATGACCACGGCAACTCTTATAGAGGAAAACTTTTAATTGGGGTGGCTTGTTTATAGTTCCGAGATTCCCCCTTTATAATCATGGCAGGGAGCATGGCAGTGTACAGGCAGATGTGGTGCTGACTACATCTTGATCAGGAGGCAACAGGAAGTGGACTGTGACACTGAGCAGTAACTTGAACATAGGAGACCGCAAAGCCTGCCCTGACAGTGACACATTTCCTCTAAGAAGGCCACATCTACTCCAACAAGGTCACATCTCCTAACTCACTTTGCCCAGACATCTTAGTTACTTTTCTATTGCCATGACAAAACAACATGACCAAAGCTGTTTATAAAAGAGAGTAGTTAATTGAGGATCACAGTTCCAGAAGGTAGTAGAGTCCTTGACCATCATGGTGGGGACCATGGCAGCAAGCAGTCATGGCACTGGAGCAGTAACTAAGAGCCAACTAAGATCCACAAGCATGAGACAGGAAGAGCAAGGTAACTTCTGAAACCTCAAGACTCACCCACAATGATACACCTCCTCCAGCAAGGCTGTGCCTTCTAATTTTTTCCCAAACAGTTCCAGCTTCAGACCAAGCATTCAAACATATAAGACTGTGGGGAACTGCTCTCATTCAAACCACCAGACCAGGGCTTTTAGAATTTAGTAAATGCTCAACCACTGTGCTATACCCCATTGCTTGGTGTTTGTTCTTTCAAACTTATATTGTCTTATGACACACGGATAATGTTAGCAAGTTAGTAGTGAGTTAACGTGACCCATAGACAGTCTATATTTACTCAGATTTCTCTTGGATCTTCAAGATGGGAACTTTCATCCTGTTTTGTGTAAGCCAGTCTAATTTCAGACAAATCTGAGTTTGAATCCTGACTTTTCTGCCATTGTTTGACGATCATATTATTTCCTTCCTTTGAGACACAGATTCCATACAAATGAAAGGGAGAAGATGCAAACCCTCACTGCTCAGAGTTTTGTGAGGCATAACTAGGCTGATATATGTAAAATGTTTGGCAAAGAGGCCTATATAGTGAAATTGGCCTTGGTATAAATGAGCTATTTTCTGGATGAGAGGACAAGAGATGTTGCAGAGAATTATTCTTTTTTTAAATTTTAAACATAATTTTTATCGATTCTTTGGGAATTTCTCATCAAGCACCCTAATCCCACTCTTTTCCCAGTTCCTCTGTAGCCATACCCTTTACCCTTTTAGCATTTGCTCCCAAAAGGAAAACCTAAAAAAAGATAAAAATACAAAATAAAAAGGAGAATATTAATTCAAACAAGCAAAAAGCAACAACAAAAAGCAAAAACAGTTTTACTTGCAAATGGTCATTGTGTAATGTGTTTTTGGTCAGGTTCAGGGCCTCTGGCTTCTGGTACACCCTCAATGCTGGACCCTCCCGATGTCCTCTCAGACATCCTGCTGTTGCCCCGAGTCATGGAGATGCTGCAGCCATGGTTCTGCAGTCCCTTCACAGACTCATGAGTCATGAGACTATGACTCAGCAGGTCATAGATGGGGTAGATGTTGAGGAGTACCTGCTCAAAGCCCCGAACGTGGATGTCTCAGTGGCAGCTGAGTTGATCAGTCAGGGCTACTAGGACCACCCTGCTCAGGTGAGGGGAGGAGTCAGCTCACCCACACGTGCCGTGAGGTCACCCGTGTGATAGCGTGGACAATGAACATTAACCAAGACCCCAGCTGCATTAGGACCATGGACCTAGCCATGGCCAACAGCAGCAGCTTGGGTCCTGTTGTCACTGTGGCCCCCAGTGGCAGTGCAGGGCACCGACAACCAGTTTTCAAGGATGTGGCATCATCTGAGACTTGCCTCCTCAGCTCTGTTCTGGCAACCTTTAGTCAGATGTGAGTTGAAAAACTCTGCTCACTTTGTGTTTAGGTGTTGTTTGTTTGTTTCTGCTGTTGTTATTGCTTTGAGACAGGGTCTTGCTCTCTTGTGCGAGCCTGCCTAAGGCTCCTGAACATTGAGGTCATAGGCATAAGACCACATACCACACCTGACTCTACAGAATCATAAAGATTATGATGGCGTCTCAATCAAAACAATTTCTCTGAGCGTTTCTTTTTCCCTGTTTAGATTAGAGAACTCTACAGACGTGCTGCAGTTATAACATGCTGGGAGAAGACGAGACCATGATGATTTAAAACCAGCAGGGCCGAGTTCCAGCACTGATGAGGTGGACAGCCAGGAGGATTGCAAGATAGAGGGTAACTTTGGATACATGGTGAGACACCTACCTAGAAGATAATGATAATAATAATTGTCCCTTGCCACAAACTTTTCTAAGCTCTTCCTTTCAAAAGAGTGAAATCTACACTCCTCTTTCTTTCAGAATTTCTCCTAATGAATACATGAAACAGAAGTGACAGAGTGCAATTTTAAAGACGAGGTCCTCAGAGGTGGCCTGGCTTGTTCTGAGCTTTCTTTTCTAGAAGGAAGTTAATTTGCCATGTCATGGGGCCACTTCAAGTACCTGAGGACAGGCCTGCGTGGTGAGGGCATGAAACCTCCTGTCAACAACATGGAAAGGAGTCATTCTGGAAGCAGATTCTCTGTCACCATTCAAACCTAAGATGATAAAAGACTTGGTTATGTCTGAAATGTAGCCATGTGAAAGACTCTGAGTCAAAATTTCCAGCTAAGCCACTCCCACATTCTTGACTAACAGAAACTGGGATAACAAAAGTTTACGATTCTCAGTGAGGGCGAAGCTCAGTGGTACAGTGCTCATATAGCGTGTGCTAGGCCCTGGATTAAATTTCCAGCACTATGGAAAAAAAAATAGAAGCATTGAAGAGATGGATCAAGGGTTAAGAACATTTTCTGCTCTTTCAGAGGATCTAGGTTCAGTTCCCAGCACCTCCATGGCAACTCACAATGTTCCGTAATTCTAGTTCCAGGGGATCTGATGCTCTCGTCTGGCCTCTGTGGGCACCAGGCCATGCACAGGGTGCCCATACATGCAGGTAAAACACTCATACACATAAATAAATAAATATTTAAAAAAATACAATGAAACAAATACCCATTTGTTGTTCACAGCCACTGAGTTTTGGAGTCATCGATTACACAATAATAGATAGCAACGTGGTGCTACCTGGAAGTGGGTTGCTAGAATAATAAATCTCTAAAATTTTGAGAAAAACTTGAGAATTAAGCAGTTGGCAGACGCTGGAAGGCTTCTCAGGAGAGAGTTGGTGAAAGATTAAAATTTCTTGAACATATTGTTAGTAACAGTCTGAGCTTTGAGAATGCTGCCAATAAGGGTATAAATAATAAAGGGTATAAATAAGGGTATTAATAATAAATATAAGCAAAGACTATTGTTGGAAAACAAAGGAATGCTGTGTTGTTTAGTGGCAGAAAGTTTAACAATACTGTTTCCTGAAACTATTTGGAAAGTAGGCAGTGTGTCTAATGAGATGGATGATCAGCTTGAGAAGCTTCTCAGCAGCTGCATCCAGGGTGCTGCCTGCTTTCTTCTTGCTGCAGGCAGCAGAATGCGCAAGGACAGCGGTGTGTGAATGGAGGGTTGTTAAAGTGTGAGTCTGTGCGCACTGGCTCTGAAGTCATCCCTAGATCCTCCAAGCGGTGGCCAGTGCTAAAATAAGAAATGGCTTCGAAAGAAATCTCAAATCCAGGGCACTCTCAGGAAAGCAAGGTCTAAAACTAAAGCTAAAGGTCTGCCTGGAAAATCCTTCCCACTAAGACCATAAGAGGATCCAAGGTTGTGCCTCTAAGACTCAGTCAGTTGGGTGCTTAAGAAGCTTAAGGGCATTACTCCTCAGTGGCATCTGCCAAAGCCTCAGGTGAGGAAGGGCTCAGCTCAAAGATACGTTTTGGATGAAGCTTTGATGTAGTCGAATAAACCTTAATGAGATTCACAGAGTTTTAAAGACAACATGAACCAAAGTGATGGAGACAGTATAAAGCAAGAATCAACCTTGGGACCCTCAAACTCCTGCTAGTGAGAAGAGAGCTGAAATAAGCCCATGTTGTTGCAAGCACTGCTACTCTTCATTTGGAAAGGAAAGATGAGCCAGAGGGTGTGCCCAAGAGCCCAGGGGCTAGCATCAGAACCTATGGCTGATTATTCCCAGGCGGGAGGCGAAAGTGCATCCTTATCCAGAAAGTCAAAGGGCTCAAAGGCAGGCCATGAGTCCTGTCTTCGGGGCACCTTCTATAGACTCTAAGGTAACTTGTGGTATTGAGGATCTCATACTTGGCTGAAATGGGATCAAAGGGACATCCCACCACCCTGCTGCATCTCTGCTGGCAGATTTCTCCCTCCCCAAGTGCTGTGGTGTCTCTGTTGCTACTGCCCAAATGCTTCTGGATGAAGCATTTTTTGTCACACAGTTGAAAACTCTATGGACACTAGGCCTTGCAGTTCTTAGAGAGGATGGAGAACTGGAAGATTTGCTAGGTAAGACTTCCCTTTAGGTAGACTGACCCTCCTTTCCTTCTCTTTCTTTCCCTCTTTTAAATTTTTCAAGACATGGTTTCTCTGTCAAGCCCTGGCTGTCCAGGAACTCACTCTGTAGATCAGGGTGGCCTTGAACTCAGAGATCTGCCTTCCCCTTCCTCCAAAATGCTGGGACTAAAGGCATGCACCACCACCGCCCTGCTTGCCCCTCCTTTTCTAAAATAATTCTGTGTGGTCTCTGTGAGCTCTGCGCATATGAAGGGGCTAGAGGGTCAAATTTCTGCTGCCCTGGGCGTGGGGGGGGGGTTGGCAGCTCAGCTGTTTTCTACCCTTTCCAAGGGAAGGTAAAATAAGCAACAGACACAACGCAAGGAGAATCCCCGGCATTTGTAAGGTCCCACATGTCATTAACGTGACTGAAAGCCTGACTAAGCTAGTGGGGCCCCAGCGCATCTTCTGACGTACACTACACAAGTCACTCCCGAAGCTCATGTTGGGCTCACGGGGCTAGAAGGGTGCTGTTTCTTTAACTCTTCTTCTAAGAGCACGTGCCACCAGTGTGTACTGTCATGTCTCTCCTAGGGGCAGGCGCAGTTCCTCATGAGGTACCTTGTTATTAATGAGAAAGTGAGTTCACCCGTTCCTAGCTTCACTGCCCTCTGTTGTATCTCTCTCTCTCTCTCTCTCTCTCTCTCTCTCTCTCTCTCTCTCTCT